TGGGCCTTGGCTCCCAGGACCCTCTGCTGCCCCGAGGGTCTTACCTCTGCCCCGGGCATCTTCCTAACTACAAGATGTGGGGCCTTGCAGTAGTGTTTTCTGAAAGTTCTGCACATGCTTGTCCTCTACCTTTTTTTTTTTTCTTTTTTGTAAATTGAATTCTTTAGGGCTGTACTAATTATCTTTGCTATTTCAGGGAACATTTGTGATGAACCTTTTAAAAGTGCAGATCATTTTATCCTACCTTTAGATTTTTCTTAAAACTGGGCTTAGAGGCTATAAACTCCAATACTTTGGCCACCTGATGTGAAAAACTGACTCATTTGAAAAGACCCCATGCCGGGAAAGATTGAAGGTGGGAGGAGAAGGGGACAACAGAGGATGAGGTGATTGGATGGCATTGCTGACTCGATGGACATGAGTCTGAGTAAGCTCCGGGAGTTGGTGATGGACAGGGAAGCCTGGCGTGCTGCAGTCCATGGGGTCGCAAAGAGTCGAACATGATTGAGTGACTGAACTGAACTGAACTGGGGGCTATAGGGTTCAGACCACTGAGGTACTGTACTGATCCTGGAATTTAACATTTCACTATTTGTTTGCTACCTGAAAGTTCAATCACAGGTAATGACTGTAATTCTGCTGAGGTGAAAACTTGAATCTTGAGACTTTGACAGTGAAATAGAGGGGAAAATCTTGGATGAAAGCCCGGAGTTCAAGCCTCTAGGGAGGGAACCAAGAGACTGGGATGATTCCCTAATTGAACTAGCACTGGCTCAGGGCAGGCTGAGGAATCTCAGAAGATGAAATGCCAGGAGTGGGCAGACAATCCTAGACTCAGAGGTGAAGCAGCAGGTTTGTGGCTCAGAGAAACTAGTCAGTCAGGGTAGTAAGCTAAAGGGCTGAAATGGGACAGTGAGGGCCTCTGTTCTCTCTATATTCTTCCTTCCTCAAAGTCCTCATTTATCTACAGGGTTTCAATTTCTCCAACTCTACCCTCCCCTCTTGATCTAATGTTTTCAACCATGGGTCATTTCTATTTGGATGTTTCACTATACAGGCTACATACCTAAATTCCAACTTTTGGCATTTATGAAGAATAGGTCCACTGACGAGTAATTCTGAAATACAAGAATAACATAATATTGTCCCTATAAGATACATAAACACAAACAGTAGAGAATATCAAGGTCATATTGAACAGAAACTCCTAGGGGTTGGCTGGCCTTATATTCAAGCTGGATGACATTCTCTTGCACACTAGCCTCTAAGGTGGGAGTTTTAAAGTTCTGCCTTATCAAAACTAGAAATATGTACATGGATCTTTGCAGCTGCTGATAAAGAGTCAAAACCATCAACCACATATGCAATCTAGGTACCTAGGATTTTAAACAAGCTACCTTGGAGATTCTCATCTCCAGGATCTTCCTCCTTTAATTCATCCTGTGTTCCTTGGACAAACCAATGTCTTGTTAAAAAAGTTTTTTTCCCATCAGTATACTTTCCTGGATTTAGAGAATTATACTTAGCTATAGCAAAATAGAGGCATGGCTGTGACATTCCAGAAACTGAACTTGTGTGCAAATATAAGAATACATTCAGCTAGATCCTTGCTAAAGATTTTCAGGTGCTAACTCCAGACTCTAATGGTGTGATTGTGAGGTGGCAGGAAATGTGTGTGCATGTGTGTGTGTGTTTAGGCATGTGATTATAATACAAGGCATGGGGTATGGATTGTATCTTCCCAGACTCAAAAGGGAGAAACAAATATGGATAATCCTTTAACAGTAAGAACTAACAGAGTAGTAGTTTCAGAAGCAAATTGTACAGGTCACATTGAAAATATAAAAGTTAGCTATTATACTGTAAAGTACATACATATAAGAAATACACTTATAGATAAAATGAACTGTTTATCTTTGGGAGATAAACAACCATTTGAAGGTTAGTTTCATTTGCTCATTCATTTATTCATTCAACAAATATTTGTGGAATGTCATTATGTGACAAGCACTGTACCAATCATATTTATTTACTTTTCCTACTAGTGTATTGCTACAGTATCCCTAACTGCTTTTCCTGCTTCCACGCCACACCTACACCCACTCCAGTGTATTATCTACACAATAGCCAGAGTGATGCTTTAAAAACTCTGTTTAAGATCTTGACACAGTCAAAACTTTCTAATATATTTTCAAAAATTCAGAGTAAAATCCAAATCCTATAGCCCATAATGTAGCCTCAAAAGCCCCCTTTCCCTTCTGTATCCAGCCGCATATCCTTCTCTTTCCCTTCACTCACTCCTCCTCAGTAACACCAGTACCCTTCCTGTATTCCCTGGACCTGGCAAGTATGCATCCATCTCAGGCTTTCACGTGGGTGTTACTCCACCGTCTTGGGAGGTCTTCCCTTAGACAGCTACCCCTCTATTCCTCTCAGATTTTCTAACCTGATGTCATTTCATCAGAGAGACCTTTCCTGATCACCTAAGCCAAAATAGCATCTACTCCCTTTACCACCTTCTCTTTCTTCTTCTACTTTTCTTTCCAGAACTCGATTATTATCTGATATATTAAATACATTTTATGTATTATAGTGGGCTTTTCATCCCTTCCTCCACTAGGATGTCAGCTTTTGGAAACAAGAACTTTGTTTTACCTCCTGTAGTATTTCAGTGATTGAAACAGTGCCTGACACATAGTCAGTATTCGGACATATTTGTTTAAATGAATAAATGAATGTATAAATCCTCTATTTCTCTGGGGCATTTATTTTTAAAATGCTGAAATAAAAATATTGTTAACAGTTTCAAAGAAATAGTGTGGGTTTATGTTTTCCATATATTTTTATCCTTTCGTTTTCACCATACCCAAAAGAACATGATGTTCCTGTAGGTGAATAAGGTTAGCACAAGCTTTGGGGGAAGATTTCCTAATAGAACAATGACAGTATAGACCAATAACCATGGAAATCAAGTCATTGATATGATAATTCTAAGAACCTTGACAAATAGTGTTGATGGCTTAAATGCTAACAGATACAACTGAAGATAGCTGCAGTACAATCCAAAAGGCTCAAGTTGAATGTAAGCAATGACTTGGGTTTCAACAGAGGCGTTCTTTCAAATGACCCATCCAGCTGGCTGGGATGTCTTTCAGGCAGCAGCAGGACTGCATGTAGCAGTCAGGAATTCCTGGGGCATTACTGAGAAACACAGCCTCCAAACCCACAAAATAACTGAGGCCTATGTTGCTTTTGCTCCACAGCTTGGAATTTCTTAATGTCAGTGACAAGTCAGGTGTGAAGTCAGCATATGAACTTAGACCTGAATGGTGAGATGCAGCTGGTCTTACAAAGCACTGGGGCAAGAACATTACCAGCAGGGGAATGGTGCAGAGACTATGAGGTTTGAATGGAAAGAGGACCATTGTGCCTGGAACATAGTCAGAAAGGTAGAAAGCAATTTAGGGCAGAGAGTGGGTGAGAAATCTCCCAGTTGATGATGCTGAAAGACTGGGAGATAATCAGTCTTTATGTAGTTTGAATTTAAACTACATTTACAAAGACTGTGGACTTTTATATATTTACAAAGACCGTGGCTTTTTATACATAGATCATTGGGAGATATATCTTTCCAGAAAAAGGAACTGTCTTGTCTTTTGCTCATGATGGACTCTTGGGAAAATGCTCAAGAAGCAGGGCATGATGTTTTGTATCAGATCCCAAGTCCACCACTGTGGCAAGAGATGACAGTTTCCAGATGGACACGGCCCTGAAATCCTTTTTTCCTTCTGTCTCTTGTGCCCCATTGGTGTCCCTTCTATGGAGGCTTCCTAAGTAGTCCTAGTGGTTAATAACTCTCCTGCCAATGCAGGTAGTTGGAAGAAATGGGGGTTCAATCCCAGGGTTGGGAAGATCCCCCGGAGGAGGGCATAGCAACTCACTCCAGTATTCTTGTCTGGGGAAACCCATGGACAGAGGAGCCTGGTGGGCTACGGTCCTTAGGGTCACAAAGAGTGGGACACTACTGAAGCGACTTAGCTTGCACTACAGAATTTAGAAGTCCAAAAAGCCCCACAAAGTTCTGATAAGATTAGAAATAAAAAAGTATCTTTATTGCTTTTTTTTCTGATTACAAAAGTAATAAATATGTAATATTTTAGGAATTTTGGGGGTTTTCTAAAATGCAGCTAATACATATCTAAGGCAGGAAATGGAGGAAGGGTATTAATAGAACATGGGCCTCTGATCCCTACCTTGTCTCTTTTTTATTATATCTCATCCTGAATGATCGCTGAGGGGACCAGATTTGAACTTTGAACTCGAGTGGTAGGTAGAGAATGGTGACCTCAATTGTCCCTTTGAACAGCTGCAAATCAGATCATCAAGTCCTAGGGGGAAAATTCTGAGAAACAAAAAACACCTCACAGCCCTGTGGCACAGGACTGAAAATTTCAGTCAGATTCAAAAAAACAAAGAACTCAAGTTCCAGGGAAAGAGGACGCTACCAAAAGAACAACACAGGAACCTGAATGGGGCTCTTCTCCAGCTCTTTATTGTTCTTTCACGCTGTCGACACTCCCTGTGGCCAAGTGCTCTTATCTAGTTTTCACACGTCCTTCCGCTTTCTTTCACTACCCACTTCTCCCAATCTTAGCCGCAACCGCTAGGTTCAACCGCGCACTTGAAAGGGTGCACAGGGCTTTGTCTATCCAGCCCAGCCGGGTTTCAAAGCGACCCCTCTGCGTGCGCGCAGGTTGGGCAGGCGTGGGCACGAACTGGAACCGAGTTGGGTTCAAGATTGGGGTTCGCTCCGCCGCCGGCGGTTCGGGAGGAGCCGCCCACCGGCCCCGCCTTCGGGCTCCGACAGCCCCGCCCCGCAGCTCCCGTCACGTGCCGCCGCGCCGCCCAATCAGCGCCTGCAGCGCGTGGACTCGGGATTCAAACTGCGGCGCCTGGGACTCTCGGGGATCGGCGCTGGTCGCCGCCGTGGGGTGCGGGCCATGGAACACCGCATCGTGGGGCCCGGGCCATACCGGGCCACCAGGCTGGTGAGTGTGCGTGCGGGGGTCTGGGCGAAGCGAGCCCCCGGCCTGCGGGCCGACCGCGGACTCGTCAGTACTCGCTTCTCGAGAGCTAGTCTGACCGAGTTCTGGAGGCGGGGCGTGTTTCCTCTTGTGAGGCCAGATTCTAGATGATGCTTAAAGAAAGGCTAGCCCGGCCGCGGGCCCAGCCCATCGAGGGTGGGCGCAGCTTGGATCCCGAGACGGTGGCCGGGTTCTCGCCAGTGAACGGCGACTCCGGGTTTAAAGCGCCCGGAAGAGCACGACGGCACCCTCCTCCCCTTTCCTGATCCTTCGGAACCCTACGCCCCCCGCCGGGAGAGGATGGTCCAGTCAGTCCGTCACTTTCGGGCCACCCGCCGCCCGTTACGGGCAGGGCGTGTCCATCCTGAGTGTCACTTGTGGTGACACTTGAGGTTCTTTGCAACGGTACCCTAAACAGAGGTGGATCTCTCTGGCCACGTTTCCGGCTCCTGATGTTTCTTTTTCTATCAGCACCCACTTAAATGAAGGGGAAGGGTGGGCCCGGGCGGATGGTTTGAAAGAGTCTTTTCGGCGTCCACGGTGGCTCAGACGGTAAAGCGTCTGCCTGCAATGCGGGAGGCCCGGGTTCGATCCCTGGGTTGGAAAGATCCCCTGGAGAAGGAAATAGCAACCCACTCCAGTACTCTTGCCTGGAATAATCCCATGGACGGAGGCGCCTGGTGGGCTCCAGTCCTTGCGGTCTCAAAGAGTCGGACACGACTGAGCGACTTCACTTTCTTTCTTTCAGACCCCAATGGTCCAGGGTGCTGCCCTTTTTTCCTGGGAGAAGAGCATTGATAATCAGAGTTCTGAGGCTTACTTGATTTCTTTGTGACCTGAAGCAAGTGATTATAGCCATTTCATAATGGAATAAATGGAGATAATTTGGTAATGTCCAGGGTCGGTTTTAGACGACTTTTTATGAAAGCTTAAAGGTGGTTTGGGAGGAAGAGACTGCACTCCTTGGACTGTCACCACTTCTGGCCACAGCTAACTTGAGAATTAGCCTCATTGTTCCTTGCACCCCTAAGGGATATCCAGGAAAAAATAACAGGATAGAAGAAGTTATTGCCCTCATTTTTGCAAACAATCCACTTCAGACACCCATAATGATTTTTTAAAAATTTATTAATTTTTTAATTAAGGATAATTGCTTTACAGAATTTTACTGTTTTCTATCAAACATCGATATGAATCAGCCATAGGTATACATATGACCCATAATGATTTATTCATTAAAAAAATTCATATAAATTTAGGTTTTCCTTTGGGGTAGTCTCCAAGAGGTATGGATGCTGGTGGCAGGGACAACACTATTTTAAAATAATGTTTTCTTATCAAGTTGCATGTCACAGTGCCTCTACCACTTGAAACCATCTGGGGTCAAGGCTATTGGTTGGTCCATCTTTAGGGATGAGATACAGATTGTGCTTTATCAGGGACATTCAAAAATTTGACTCTCTTTGGGACGGCCTTGGCTGTCCCGTGGTTAAGAGGTTTCCTTCCAATGCAGGGGCTGTGGGTTTGCTCCCTGGTCAAGGAGCTAAGAGCGCACATGCCTTAGGCGCCCCCCATGCTCCCCCCCCCCGAAAAAAAGGAAAAAGAACAACACCCTACACCCTACAAACAAAAAAACAAAGCAGAATCAACACTGTGACAAATTCAATAAAGACTTTAAAAATGGCCCACATCAAAAAAAATCTTAAAAAAACAAAAAAAGCAAAAAAGCTTACTGTCCTTTGTGGAGGTAAAGTAATATTCTCCTACTGCAGAAAGAGAAGAGGACAACAGTGGATGAGATGGTTGAATGGCATCATGGACTCAATGGACATGAACTTGGGCAGACTCCCAGAGATGGTGAGGGACAGGGAAGCCTGGTGTGCTGCAGTCCATGTGACTTGGCGACTGAACAACAACTGCCAGTTTATTCACTACACAGGGGAAACAGAGATGCTGGATCTTGGGGTGGCTTGTTCTCATTCTTCTAGCTTTAGACTAAAAAAATAAATTACACGAATTGAAACTTTTTAAATCTCATATTCACAGAATTGTATGAAGTAGCTCTATAGATGCAGCCTGCCTATGTGAAAGACATTCTTGATTCTGAGTCACATTAAAGTGTTATCAAAAGAATTTATGAAGAAAAGTACTCTGTTCTTCAGAAGTTTTAAGTTCCCAAGAAATGATTTTCAAGTCACATTTAGCCAAGACTGATCAAGTTAAACAGGAAACGAAATTATGTGAATAATTGATGAAAACACCTCAGTTTCACCAGACTTTGCTAAGTATCAATCAGTTCTCAATTTTATTCTCTTTGAGAATCTTGAACTTAAACTCAGATTTTTGAAAACACAGAAAGCGATAGGCTTTTTTTTTTTAAAGTGAGAATTCCTGATTTATTGGCGATCTCTGTAGTCATTACAGGTACTTTCCCCCCACTGTAAAATCTCTAAGTGTTTCTCTGAGTATAATTCAGTTGTGCTTACAGCTTCTATCAGTTAAATCAGTTAGTGCTCTTTCTCTGCCTTAGCTCTGTTTACCTCCCTGGTTCCCAGTTTACCATTTCCGTCTTCTCCCACCGTTACCCTCAACCTAATCTACAGAAAAGCTTGGGAAAAACCTAGTGATACACAATGAGCTGGCCTTTGCTTCCTCCTTTCATGGCTCGCTATACTTTCTCAAACCATGTACAGCTCCATTTTCTAAGGTACCAAAGTCTTATCTGAAAATAACATTTTATGGACTAGGTAAATTTCTATGCCCCAAATCAAATGACAGACTCTGTAAGTCAATTCATGGTGAATATGGAAGCTAATTAGCAACTTATTCATCTTCACTGAAATAACTTTCATTTTTGTAATCCATGTATTAAATAGTTCTGTAAACATTAGTTAACAAGAAATGATGAGAAAGAAAATTGATTTTTCTGAAAACAGCATAAGTCTACCAATCCTTTCTTTGAACTTAATTCTGAGTTGTATGTATCTTCTGATATAACAGGTGAACTTTAAAAGACTTACAGGTGTCATTGAATCTGAGAGTTTGAATCGACTCTAAAGATTCCAGTTCTCTCATTTTGTTGTTTAGTTGCAAAGTCGTGTCCAACTCTTGGTGACCCCATAGACTGCAACACGCTGGGCTCCCTTGTCCTTCTCTGTCTCCTGGAGTTGGATGCAATATTGTTCTTTACAGCATTGGACTTTACTTTCACCATCAGACACATCCACAGCTGAGCATCGTTTTTGCTTTGGCCCAGCACTTTCATTCTTTCTAGGGCTATTAGTAATTGCGCCCTGCCTTTCCCCAGGGGGACACCTTCTGACCTGGGAGAGCGCCTCTTCTGGTGTCATATCTTTTGTCTTTTTTTGTACTGTTCATGGGGTTCTTGTGGCAAGAATACGGGAGTGATTTGCCATCCCATCCTCCAGGGGACCACGTTTTGTCAGAACTCTTCACTTTGACCTGTCTGTCTTAGATGGCCTTGCACAGCACTGCTGATAGGTTCATTGAGTAATGTAAGCCCTTTCGCTACAACAAGGGGCGTGTGTGATCTGTGATCTGTGAAGGGGACTCTCATTTTATTGAGGCCTAAAGTGGTGAACTGACATGGTCAAGTTCACACTGCCAGTGTGTGGCAAGTACACCTTTATCTAGCACTTGTTTGTCTCTGAAGTCCCTGACCAGTGCTGTATTATAGTACCACTATCATAATATTTTTGATACTAATAAGTAAAGAAATGGAATAATGTTCAAGAGGAAAAAATAGGAAGCACATTTCAATACTCAGAAAACTGAGATCATGGCATCCAGTCCCATCACTTCATGGCAAATAGATGGGGAAACAGTGAAAACAGTGTGAGACTTTATTTTCTTGGGCTCCAGAATCACTGCAGATGGTGACTGCAGCCATGAAATTAAAAGACACTTGCTTGCTCCTTGGAAGAAAAGCTATGACCAACCTAGAGAGCATATTAAAAAGCAGAGACATTACTTTGCCAACAAAGGTCCATCTAGTCAAAGCTATGGTTTTTCCAGTAGTCATGTATGGATGTGAGAGTTGGACTATAAAGAAAGCTGAGCACCGCAGAATTGATGCTTTTGAACTGTGGTGTTGGAGAAGACTCTTGAGAGTCCCTGCAAGGAGATCAAACCAGTCAGTCCTAAAGAAAATCAGTCCTGAATATTCATTGGAAGGGCTGATGCTAAAGCTGAGGCTCCAATACTTTGGGCACCTGATGCAAAGAACTGATTCATTGGAATAGACCCTGTTGCTGGGAAAGATCGGAGAAGGCAATGACACCCCACTCCAGTTCTCTTGCCTAGAAAATCCCTTGGATGGAGGAGCCTGGTAGGCTACAGTCCATGGGGTCGCTAAGAGTCGGACATGACTGAGCGACTTCACTTTCCCTTTTCACTTTCAAGCATTGGAGAAGGAAATGGCAACCCACTCCAGTGTTCTTGCCTGGAGAGTCCCAGGGATGGCGGAGCCTGGTGGGCTGCCGTCTATGGGGTCGCACAGAGTCGGACACGACTGAAGCGACTTAGCTGCAGCAGCTGGTCAAGACTGAAGGTGAGAGGAGAAGGGGGCGACAGGATGAGATGGTTGGACGGCATCACCGACTTGCTGGACAGGAGTTTGAGTAAGCTCTGGGAGTTGGTGACGGACAGGGAAGCCTGGCGTGCTGTAGTCCATGGAGTCATAAAGAGTTGGACACGACTGAGCGACTGAACTGACTCATTTCAACACTCAGTGTTGTGTTTTGTAATTTGACTTGTGTTGTGAAGCAAAAACAGTTATCAATTACATTTTATCTATGTTATTCATCTATGTTACTGCATGTAGCAATAGTTTGTTTATTCTCATTACTTTATTCTGTTGCATGAATTTGTTTATTCTTACGTTAATGGACATTTGAGTTGTTTTTAATCTATTAAGTAAGAATAGTGCTATTTTGAACAGTGTGGCTTTTGGTTAACATACTTTTTTTTTTTTTGGTTAACATACTTCTGCTGCATATATATACACACTTAAGAATGGAATTTCTGGGTTATACTGTGTGCATATTATTTCTGGTTGCTCCATGTTCCGAATGGCACCTAGTATTGCCCGTCTTTTTCATTTTAGTCTTTCTGTAGGCATGTATATTATTGCATTGGGGATTTATTTGCATTTCACTGCTAACTTATGAGATAGAACATCTCTGCATAACTATGGTAAATTTGGAGATTCTTTTATGTGAAGTGCCTGTTCAAGTGTTTTTTTCATTTTTCTATTGAATGCCCTTTCTTGAGTTGAATTTTTCATTTTGTCTTAGAAATTCTGGTTATATGTTATCTTACTCTATAGATTGCATTGTTTTTGTGTGTGGTTTTAAGAATTAAAAAAAAGTTTAAATCTGGACCAACTTAATTTGAAGCATGGCTTATTGTAGTGTCAAATGAAGTAGAAAGATTGATATACAGCAGGCTTAAAGATGTTTGAATTTGGCCAGGAGGAAGACATGATTGAGGATCAGAGTAGAATTAAATTGCATGAAGTTAGGAGGTGGTTTAATAAAAACAGGAAAAGGGAAAGACCAGTTAGGTGTTTGCGTGTTGAGTGCCTGCTGTGTCTGCTGTGCCCTGTGCTGCACGTCCAGGGAGCGTGCTTGAATAGACCGACCTGGGCCCTTGACGCGCCTGGTGGTGTGTACTCAGGGACGGTTACTGTGCTTGAGAGAGGCTGGCTATCAAAGGGAGAAGAGAAATGGACCGCAGGTGCAGAGGTGATGGGCAGAGGAGTGTATGAAGAGAAACGCAGAAGAGGCGAAAACGAGGTTACAGTGTTGGGCAAAATAAAAAGAATATGTTAAGGTCAGGACTATTGTTGAAAGAAAAAGGAAGAACTGATTTCAGTAGGAAGGTAGGTCAAAAATAAGGTTCAGAGTTTGTAGATTAATAGACTTGAAAGAGGAGCGTGAAAGAAGAGAGAATGGTAGTAAGAATAAGACTGAGTTTTCGGAACTTGTAGGACTGGTGGGATGACAAGGGTCCTAAGGAAATGGAGTAATTATATAGGAAGAACATCACATGTGAACATTTCATTTAATTTTGGGATGGCTGATAATGGCGTGAATATCTCGATTAAAATTTTTTTTTTCTTTTTTAAATTTGGCTGCGTCATGTGGCATGTGGAATCTTAGTTCCCTGACCAGGGATCAAACCCTTGGCCCCTGTATTGGAAGCTTGGAGTCCTAACTTTTGGACTGCCAGGGAAATCGCTAGAATTTTTTCTTTTCTTTTTTTTTTAATAGGGTAGTATTCTGCAGAATTTTTAAACATTCTTTGACACCAGGCACTATATTTTATGTATCTCTTTTTTCCTCTCCCCATACAATGCGTCATGTAATAATCAGTAAGTACTTGCTGAATGAGGTAGTTATATTAAATGTAGGACTCCAAGTATTGAATTATGGCCTCAGTTTTTACTACTAGTTTTGTTCATGTATTTCTCATTAACATAAAAATCCATTAAGTTCACATCAAGGACAACCTGATGACAACATTTCCAGTAAATATTTATTGAATGAATAAATGTATTTGTTTATAAGGTTACTTTAGCATTTAAAGGTCGTAAATAGAAAAAAAAACTTCGACTGCTTCTGTTATTAAGGCAGTCTTTTAAATGGAAAAACTGCATTCATTGTCCTAATATTTAGGATGCAGCAACATTTTAAAAAATTCACTAAATGCTTTCCTCCATTTTTGCCCCAAGTGGAATGAAACAGTTGAACTTTTTCGCGCCAAGATGCCATTACGGAAACATCGCTGTCGTTTCAAAAGTTACGAGCATTGCTTCACAGCGACTGAAGCTGTGGATTGGCTACACGAGCTGCTGAGGCGCAGCCAAAACTTTGGCCCCGAAGTGACCCGCAAACAAACGGTCCAGCTGCTTAAAAAATTCCTGAAGAACCACGTTATTGAAGACATCAAGGGAAAATGGGGCCAGGAAGACTTCGAGGACAACCGTCACTTGTACAGGTAATGGCATGTCAGCCCTGATGGGGAAGAGCATGGGGAGCACATGTGGATCTGGTCAGTCTGATGAAATTCCTCCTGTGAGAGAACTTGCCTTGTCCCTGGCAGGGGTGCTTGTGCTTGTGATTTGTTGGGTGGAGAACTGCATCTGTCGCTATGAGAAAACTGATTGTGCTTGTTCTTGGCTTCATAGAGCACGCGTAAGTAGTCTTTCGTCGCAGTGGCTTTCAGTAATGGAACCTTTTCATGCCTTCTGTAACCTGGAAGGATGGGTATAGTAGAGTGCCTCTCCTGGGGAATCTGAAAGGGTGAAACAGTAGCTCTGGCTTGCACCTTTCTGAGCAACGTGAGGGTGTGTGTTCAGGGTTTCGTGGCAGAGGTGTCTGATCTCCAAGCAGAGCTCAGGCTGATCATGAAGAATTGTGCTGGAACTCCCCCATGTCTCAGATTAACTCTGCAGCGCATGGCTCCTTCCCCCCGTGTTTCAGTGCTCCTCTGTGATTGCTTACTTACTATGCAATAATCTGAGGGCAAGGACGTCCCTCTGTTGACACTGCCCTTCTCATCGCACGCTAGGCTGGTTTATTCCTGGAAGTGGAGAGGGCCTGCCTGAGACTCAGGGAATGAGGGAATACTTAAAGAGGAATGAAAAGAGGAGTCGTTGAGTTATCTACAGAGAGGGCTACCAGAGCACCAAGAACCTGTGAGGGATAAAAGGAAGAAATGAAGATGGCGAGCCCTTAATATCTGCTTTTGACTCCAACAGAAGAATAAGGAGTGCTCTTGCAGCACGTTCAGCGGGGCACTTGGGGGCCACTGGGCCACCTGGCTTTGAGCAGAGAAGGCGTAACTGTTCCCTGCCGGAGTCACGTCTTTGGTTCCTTTGGGGACTAGCTGCCGAGGAAAGGCTGCCGAGCAAGTGGAGATGGTCACCAGCACTCAGGCTAACTCCCAGCAGTGGTGTGTGTTTAGGCTCTGACTTCCTCATGGAATTTTACCAGCAGTCTCCCCTTCTAGGCATCAGGATTGTCAACTGGGCAGTTAGTTGTCTCTCCACTTGGCAGTTATCTCTGGCTTGCTGATCCAACTTTTAATTAGAATCTTGGGTGATATTAGCCTGTTCTGAGACCATAGTGCCTCTTAGTATCAGGCAGTGGAGACTCTAGCCCTGGTTCCACATGACACACTTCATTGGGAATGCTTAAGTGATTGTTTCTCTTGGGAAGCTATAATTGCTTGAACCCCATCAAGAGTTAACTCACACTTCTAGAAGGTTGTCTGGAGGAGTAACTTGAAGTCTGTTTTATTGTGACCTTAGATTGGGTACCCGCCATTGAGTCCCATGAGGCTTTCAGAGATGCCAGGCGAGTAAAACAGAAGCCTGTTCTAGGAGCCAGCCCTCCCCTAGCAGTGACTGTCAGACCATGTTTCACCTCAGTATGAAGACTTAATCATTTGTCCTTTAAAAAATAAAATGCCTTGAGTTGAGAGCTCACTCAGGAGTGTAGAGGCACCTGTTGGCACGAGGCAGCTTCCAGGACTGAGTGTACAGCTCTTGATGATATGCTGACTTGCCAGTGCCCCAGGGAGGATTGGGGACAGGCTGGCCTCCCTGCTCAGTGTCCACCTGCTCCTTGTGGTCGAATAGTATCACTGCCAAATCGTAATGAGAGCCCATGAGGGACATTAGGAGCTTGAGGCATATTAGATTTGAAAAATAGGTGAAGAATCTATAAGATAAATTCCTACAATGCTTTTAAATATTAAGCTTTATGAAGGAGGGGCCTCTATAAGTAGTGTTCTTAAAAGGAACTAGCATTGTGGAGCACCTGTGATGGGCCAGAGTCACTGCACAGTCATCATTTACCTCGGCACCTGCAGATGTCTCTTATCTAATTTTAAAAATAAGGAAATTAATGAGACCAAAGGTACCAACTTGTCCACAGTCACTCAGGTGGTAGTAAAAGAGAATTTGAACCGAGGGCTCTGTGTCTGAGGCCTGTGTTCTTGTGTTGTGCTTGACTGCCTCCATTTCCACCGCATGAGGTTGACTAGCTTGTTAACTAATTTAAGTACTGAATGAGAAAACACAGAATAGTAAATAAGAAATAGTTGGTGTAGTCAACATGTGTTCATATATTCACAGAATTCTAGGAATGTGTTAAGTACTGTGTAATACATATTGAATGATCAGCTGTCTTCTCAAATAGAGGAGGTAAGGTAAATATAATCAGCTGAAATACTTATGTAAATGTAGGGGATGGGTGGTTGCCTGGGTCTGGGTTACAGAAAGCAACATGAAATATAAAGACAGAGTATTTTTTAAAGGCAGAAATTACACATACACACAGGAGAATTTTATAACAGAAATGATGAGTTATGTTTTTACTTTGTAGTGTATTAAGTCTTATTTCTAGTTTAAAAAATGTATTTATTGTGTGATTGCATTCACATGTGTTAACTATGATTTTATTTTTCAAGAATCTAAGAGTTAAGTATAGAAAATAGGAAATAGTGAATTTTTATGTGTAAAAAAGGAGAATAAGATCCGAATATGAGAATGTCCCTAACAATCAGAGATGTTGCAGAGAAAGGTCCAGAGCTATTTACTGAACCACTTCTTTGCTGTTAGTAACACTGATGACTAGAAAGAGTGGCTAGATTTGCTACCAGTGAAGACAATTACATCATAGTCATCGGGGTCATCATAGGGTCATCATCGTCCAGCCAGACAGATGCTATCATCTGTGTCTAACCAAGCTTTGTGGCCCTCGACTTCAGATGAAGAGAAACCTGCACTACCTTGTATTTTTATGAGAAATTTCAGTTTATGTAGCAGTTTCGCTTTATGATCTCATTTGATCTTCATGACAACCCTGTGAAGTAGACAGAGTGGATATTTCATCCTCAGAGAACCAGACACTTGGCTCTTTGAAACATCTAAACAGAACACCAGGAAATTCCATGCCGATCCCTGAATTACCCATTTATGTATGTGAACAGATGGTTACGTGGGATTATTTGAACCTAATGCCAACAAAGGTCCGTCTAGTCAAAGCTATGGTTTTCCAGCAATCAGGTATGGATGTGAGAGTTGGACCATAAAGAAGGCTGAGCACCAAAGAATTGATGCTTTTGAACTGTGGTGCTGGAGAAGATTCTTGAGAGTCCTTCGGACTGCAGGGAGATCAAACCTGTCATTCCTAAAGGATATCAGTCCTGAATATTCATTGAAAGGACCGATACTGAAGCTCCAATACTTTGGCCACCTGGCCAGAACTGACTCCTTAGAAAAGACCCTGATGCTGGGGAAGATTGAAGGCAGGAGGAGAAGGGGATGACAGAGAATGAGATGGTTGGACGGCATAACCGACTCGATGGACATAAGTTTGAGCAAGCTCCAGGAGATGGTGATGGACAGGGAAGCCTGGCATGCTGCAGTCCATGGGGTCGCAAAGAGTCAGACAGGACTGAGCAACTGAACTGAATGTAGTGGGTTATATAAAAATAGAAGTGTATACTGTGATCATTGCTTGTTTTGGACTGTTTAACAAGGAGAGCATTTGGTCTGTTTGAGATTTTTAGCGGGATAGGCCCTTTGATCTGGAGCCTCCACCTGCCCCTTGCCCTGCTCTCATTACCAGTGCTAGCTCTGGGATGCAGTTGTAACTGGATGGTGCTCACAGTTTACAGAGAGGAATTCACTAGTTCCCGTGTAGTGTGTGTGAGCTAATGTGTTGTTTAGTTGCTAAACAACATGTGTTGTTTAGTCATGTCTGACTCTTTGCGACCCCATGGTCTATAGCCCACCAGGCTTCTCTGTCCTTGGGATTTCCCAGGCAAGAATACTGGAGTGGGTTGCCATTTCCTTCAGGGGATCTGCCTGACCCAGGGATTGAACCCTTGTCTCCTGCATTGGCAGGCAGTTCTTTACCGCAGAGCTACTAGGGAAGCTCTGATCTAATGTGTAGGGAACCATTTTCTTTTTATTCTACTTATTCCTGTTCCTTTTTTTTTGTCCCTATGTTTCTGTCTCTTTATGTGTATCATCTCACGTTCCCAATTCTTCCCCCTTTTCTTTTTGTTCTACTTAGTTTCTCCTTTTCTTTCTGTCTTTTCCCTTATGTTTGCTTTTTTTTTTTTCTGGCTTATTTCCAACATGTGTATTTTAATTTGAACCTAAAATTTGTTATGTAGATTTTATCAGCTTTCTTGAATGTAAGTTTCACAGTTCTTAATTTAAAAAATAGGAATCCTGCTATGTAGTTTCAAGACTTACCCTATAAACCACAGTAATGAAGACTGGTATTGGTGAAGGGGTACATGGATGCTTGGATCAGTGGAACAGAATCGAGTCCAGAAACACACTTATGAATATGGCCAATTGACTTTTTTTTTAATCTTTTTTTTTTCATTTATTTTTATTAGTTGGAGGCTAGGGAGGGGGGATCGGGATGGGGAATACATGGCTGATTCATGTCAGTGTATGACAAAAACCACTACAATATTGTAAGTAATTAGCCAGTTGACTTTTGATGAAGCTGTAAAAGCTCCTTTAAAGAAAGAGATCAGTCTTTTTGGTAAATGACGTTGGAACAATTGGAAGACAACTGTGCTTACCACTATACCACCGGCAGTCATAACGTTGGAAAAATTAAACATCTGTTCATCTACATGCAAAAAATGAAGCTCCACCTAAACCTCATTTTTTTATACAAAAATTCATTCAAAGTGAATTGTAGATTTCAGTGTAAAACTATGAAAATTTTAGAAAAACAGGAGAAAATCTTTGTACCGAAGGGTTAGACAAGGAGCTTTTAGACATGACATCAAACGCATGATTTATAAAAGAAAAAACATGATAAATTGGATTTCATCAAAATTAAAAACTTTTGCTGTGTGAAAGGCGCTAGTGAGAGGATGAGAAGACTAGCGAATATTGGGGAGAAAATATTTGTAAACCACATGTAAGTGGACTAATATCAAGAATATATAAAAAATTT